ACCAAATCGTAGAGCTAGGTGACCTCTTTGAAATGTGTGAAGAAGACTAGTACGCCGAGTTGACAAGATGCAGTAGGTTAAAAAATATTAGGAATATAAAAATGTTTATAACTTTTACTAGAGGAGCACAATTTTAGTTTTTTACGTCTGCTTAAGAATACATTTTTCATACGCTTACCGATAAAAATATTAGTTAGTCTAAAACTTTTGAGTTTTAAGAATACTTTTGTGTTTTTCTCCCTATTGGTCAATTCTAATTTGTTTTGAAATATCATGAAACGAAAGCTTGACCTTTTTCTATATGTCCTAAAATGGTAACGAAATAATTTACAGTTGTATAGAAGGTATTTTGCGCCCTGGTACTACGCGTCATATACATAGCTGCAGGTTTGTAGAATACTCGTTTTTTTAATATTTTATGTTGGTTCCATATAAAAGGGGGCATTTTTCAAGGGGAAACAGGGCGGAATTTTAAGTAAATCCGGACATTCGTATATTGAATGAAGCATGGTGTCAGGCAACTCAAATTCTATTGACGTTTCTATATTGGGGATAAGGAAATTCTCTTTCTAATGATGTCAGCCACGATGTCTTATTTTTTTCCTACTTACTACGCTACATAAACTTTTAACTCTGCAGCACTATTCTTTTAGAAAGTACTTACGGCCTTAGAACCGCTCAAGCTACGTATCTTTCGTAATGATTTGGTTGCTTTTTTCTCCTAGGCTCAGCGTGAAAATTGCAGCTTTTGCTCGATTTTCACGTGAAGTATGTACCTACGGTTACATATGCGCTTAACTACAGCCATCAGTGCCATGTCATCAGCAAAGTCTTCTATATGGTCGTCTATGGGAAACTGCAAACGAAGGACTCTGTCATACATACTGTTCCATATTTATTTATTTATTATAATCAAACACACAACCATGAGTTATTTTACAGTGTTTGAACTTAATTTAATTATAAAAGCTTAAAAACTAACATTAAGGGAAACCGTAGGTTGTAAAAATGTGTAAGGAGGAGAAGAAGAACAAAGAAGTATTAGAAAAAAGAAAAATATATGTGTACGTGCATCTTAGCAATTTAGAGGGCAAAAATTATGTAAGAGCTCATTTTTAAAGTGCGATGTACTTCGGATAGTTTTGATCTTATATGGCAGAGCGTTCCAAAGACGAACAGCAAAAACAAAGAACTGACTTTCAGATACAAGGCAACTGTATGTCATACTAAGCAGGTTAAGTGATCGGGCCGATCTCGTGAATTGAATTCGTTCAACAAGGTATTTGGGCTCATGAGAGTTAATTACCTTGTGAAGCAGCATTAGGCATTTTACTTTTAATAAATCGTCGAACTTTATAGAAAATATTTTTAAGGCAAAAACAGATATGTGATCACGACGTTTTACACAATACACGTATCTGGCGATGTTGTTGTAGAGGATATTAAGTTTGCCACGACACAGACTATCACAATTGGCATACAGTTCACATCCATACAATAAGGTTGGTAACAGAAATGTTTTAGCTAAACGCAGTCGAATTTTCTCTGGGGTAAAGTGCTGAATAGTCCATAATGAACGGAGCATGCCATAAACCTTGCCTATTGCACTATAAATGTGGGTATTCCACGATAGGGTTCTATTGAAAATTATCCCTAGGTTTCTTGCAGTGTCAACAAATTTTATAACAGAGTTGTTCAATTTCACTTCACTGTAGCCCTCAAGTTTGAAAGTCTTCTTGTAAATAACGATGCACTGTGATTTACTTGGATTTAAAAGTAACCCATTGTCACAGGCCCACTTGCTAACGTGATCTAAGTCAGTGTGGCAACCATCTTTGTGCACTCAGCTACACCCAGACATATAAATTTGCTTTCAAATGTTGAATATCCATCAACCCCACAGCACGCGATATATACCCTTTGGGGAAAATCTCTAGTTCTGAACTGGTGCGCTTCTAGTACATTTAGACCCAGTATTTAACATGGCGATGTCCTAGGAAGTTTCAATTGCCCCCCCGCTGCATCCCTTTTTCGATAGTTCCGAACAAGCCTTAAATTCTTTAGTTCCGAACAAGTTCTAAAATCGGCAGACGAAAGGAAAAAGTATCATGATTTTTAAATCTTTTTGGTTCTTCCGTGTGTGCGATTTTAAGTTATTTTGAAAGAAATGTGTTTGCAATTTGAAATTAAATTTGTTTGGATGATTATAATAAATGTACGTTTACATACCTTTAGCTGTAGCTGAGTCTGCAGAGGTGCTCGCTTTTAAATTCCAGACGGTCCCAAGATGTTGAAATGTTAACACAAACTTTGGTTTTGTATTACCAAGCTATGAAAAAGCATCTGCGAAATGCACTATAGAAGCGTATTTGAAAAAGCCGCCGAACACATATCTATGTAAAGTAAACAAGCCCCCTGCTGCATCACTTTTTCGATAGTTCCGAACTAGTTCTAAATTCGACAAATAAGATCTAGTTCGTTCTGCATCTCTTTTTCTATAGTTCCGGACTAGTTCTAAATTCGTCACTTTAGATATAGATTTCTAGTGAAAAAACTGATAAAAATTTGTTTTTTAAAAGTACCACTTTTCGCCGATTTTGGACGGGCGTGGATCTAGTTCCTATCGGACTAGTTCCTTTTTGGCGATAAAGACCTAGTACGGAACTAGAAACTTGATTCACTAGTCCGCGGTTTCCCTGCAGGGTACGGATAAACATGCACTATGTATGAATATGTGTGTTGTCACCGCTCTCAGAGCGGCGCTCTGCATGCTTGGGGTGCGTATGTACACTCATATATATTCTCAGATGTAAACAGTCAAATATGTACGTGCGTACTAAATTTTGTATGAAAATATCAGTTTTAAATACGAACATTTTTAAACGATAATTAAATATAAAGTATTAATTTTTACTATGCATTATTTCCCTCAGTGTGGGACTGATAATCTCTAAGGTGAGTTGAGAATTTCTTCTTAGTCCGCAGAGTTAATCGCGTTTTTGACATATAATGTAATAATAGCGCAGTATTTGTTTTACCTTTCTTTTTTTAACCATTTTGTTTACTGCCCAGTTTCGGTAAGCCCATTGATTTTTACACTTTCCACGTAACACTCCCTGCAGTCAAATGTACTAGTTATAAACTACCTCACAGCTAGTATGAAGCGCATGCTCAACTAGTCATCCAACTATCTTTTTTCCATTCAATCAACTGTTTTTTTTTAAATGGGGATGTCCTACGAGATGGCAATTGTCAGATTTCGGTCAGAAATATACCAGGCGCATACTAGTTCAAAATAAACAGAAAATTACTAGTCCAATTATGGACCAAAACCACTACTTTGGGAGTAAAAAATAAAACGAAATCATGAATATACAATAAAAATAACTTTTGATTTTGATTTGATTTGAATATATTACACATTTTTATTTAGCATCCTTATATTGGCCGATAACTAGTATTAAATTTTGGAGTATTAATTAAAAGCAAAAATAAATAAAAAAATATTCCAAACTTTCGAACATAAATTTAAATGCATTTTTCATTTAATGTTATTAAAAGTAAAAGGTTTTAGGTACAATAAATGTCATATTTTTATCTTTTTTAATAATTGAATATGCAAAAGAAAACATTTTAGTTAAAAATAAAATAAATACTTAGTTCATTTTTGAATGGACTATAATCGAAATAAAAGTGTTCCTTAAAATAAATTAAATTCATTAACTTTGCACATTTCAGTCTATTCTTCTTAAAAATTCATAAAAGTAATAATAATTATTATTAGCCCTCATCTTTTGGTAAACGAGCTGCAAAAGAACGCTCCAACTCGGCTATCATTGCTATGGCCGCACTGGAATAGCCTGTCATTTAAAGAGAAGAGAAACGAAAACGGATTGGAATTATTGTGATTTCTGTCACAAAATATTTGTTACTCGGGCTTTGTTGTTTTTAATAAAAATGGAAAATTATGTTGAAAATTTGGTAAGTAATTATCAAAATAAGGTTACTTAATTAAATACTATTGTTTTAATATAGCTTGCGGCAAATTTAGTAGAAGGTCGGAGCGATTTGCGCCGCTTGAAAGACCAGCAAGACCTGAAGGAGGCAATGGACGCTTTATTCGAAAGTTCATGCTCCAGCTCGGAATCTGAAAGCGACCAGGAAGAGCACCCAAAATGCACGGATTTCGAAGCAACGCTTGACTCTATGAACGAAATTGATTTCGTGTCGCACATGCGCTTAAAAAGTTCAACCGTGGATTTTTTAATATGTAAGTCAAAATTTACATATGTTCATATATGTATAGTGAAAACTGCATAATTTATTTAAGCAAAGAAAGTGTTAAAAAGTGGTATTTGCCTGATAAACACTGCAGTGGTGCCGAAGTCGTATGGATAATTTGAATCCTAACTCCTTAGAAAAAACTCCGTAGCCAACCCTATTGTTTAACTTGAATCCATCCATGTAGAATGCCCTTCGGAATAGTTGATTTCTTGATCATAACTTCCCAGAGTGCGAAGTGAAGAAACGTGACCGAACCACTGAGGGCCGCAACGGCGGCCACGTGCTTTCCCAGCAGATTTACTGCAGGCAAATTGGTTAGCACTTCTACCGGTTTATTTGGTATGGTCCTTAAAGCACCCAAGATGCATCTAAACGCTCTTCTTTGGATCTTACTCAGAAGTTTTAGGTAACTTACCTTGTGAGTTGATGTCTACCATAAAAGAATGCCATGTAGTAATAGGCCTAAGTGCAGAAGTGTTAAGCCAATGTGTAATACGAGGGGTTTACCACCATTTGGTTTCGTCTGTTTGCTTGCATGTATGTAATGTTAGATTGGCCTTCTTACCTCTTAAGCAAATAATAGTGCTACAAATATATCTGTGTAAAAATGCTCCTATCTGCAGTGAACAAAAACATTTGCTTAAGCCGTTTTACCATTTACCAGAGGACTAATGTTTTTCATTCCATTTTCAGCAAAATATTCTTTGTCTGAGTATGTACCTAGTCAATATGGGGGTGGAAGAATGCGCGTAAGTTTCAAAAAGGCTGTATATATGTATATATGGTACGTCAGCAATACAGTTACGTTTAGGCAGTTGGCGAATTTATTTGCAGTAGCCCCATCAGCGGCGTGGTCAACCGTACGTCGATTAACTTCATTTTTGATTTCAATCAGCCACGAGTACATTAAATGGCCACAAGGTGCATGCATGCAAGAAGTAGTAAGGGGCTTCGAGGAAAAAAAGCATATTCCTGGTGTTATTGGGGCAATCGACTGCACGCACATAGCTATAAAAGGTCCAAGAGAGCAAAGATCAAACTATTTTAACCGCAAGAAAACATACAGCATTATCTTGCAAGCCGTGGTAGATTGCAATAAAAGATTTATAAACATAACTTGTGGCGAACCGGGATCACTTCATGATTACCGGGTACTAAGAAGGTCTCAAATCTATGAAGTTGCAGAAACTCGATGCGGAGAAATTTTTCCAAATTCAAATTTTATAATCGGAGATTCAGCATATCCTTCCAACAATTGGCTTGTATCGCCCTTCAAAGATTATGGTAATTTAACGGAAAGCCAGCGCAAATTTAATGAAATATTGTCATCCACGCGAATGGTTGTCGAAAACGCATTTGGGTTACTTAAGGGTCGTTTTCGAAGGCTACTTAAGTTTACTGAACAAACAGATTTAAAATCAGTCACAAATATAGTCGCCAGTACATGCGTTTTACACAATATTTGCATCACTATGGATGATTTGTGTGAAGACAATGAAGCGGATTTCGAACGATTTGAAGAGAATATGGAGGATTCGTATTTGGACGGGTCACATGACCGGAGAGAAATTCTTTTTAACTACTTAAGAGAACAGAATATTATTTACTTTTTATTTCACCATTCAAACAATGCAGCAATTGCCATCGTCAAAATCAAATCGTTTCATTGCACTTATATGCATTAATGATTTAATACAACTGGTGAGTTTTATTCTATAAAGTTTTATTAAGTAAAAATTTTATTCGTAAACTAAATAATTAATTTTCCAATTGCAGCCAATGCTGAGCAACGGAACTTCGCAAGGCATTTAAATGATACCCACCAAGTAGTATTTTGGCGAGAAGACAACAACAAACGACACCCTGTTAGCAAGATAAATTTCATTTAAAATAGATTTCATCCACAGATGGGTGAAGATCGTGTCCTATCCGGGTCTTCTACTATAACTGATAATAAATTCACTCCTCCGAACTTCGAACTTGGGAAATAACGAACACTCTAACATGTTTGTTAAGTGTTAACGATAAATTTTAACAAACAAATCATTTGTGTTGATGTACATCTAATGGACAATGTTAAGTGCTAATATATGGTAGCTTGTGTAAAATATCAAAAAAGATCAATTTTAAAATAAAACATTAAATTTCACTTGATTTATAAATTCATTAAATTTATTTTTTCTTCATTTTTTATGAAATATTCGTCCCCAATATCCTTGTCGTTGTCATTTTTCCTTAAAGAATTTCTATTTATTCAATTTAATTTCATAAAACATATTTTATTTTATTTAATAATGCATGCAGTGGACTTAATATAAATTGCCACAGGAAATTTTAGTAAGTTTTGGCTACTTTTCTATTGTTTATTTAATATTAATTGGTTTTTAAAGAAAGGATAGCACTTTACCTAACAAAAACCATATCAATCCAAATTTCAGACTTTGTGCAAAAATTATGAAAATTTCGCAATGCTTCGCCAAAATTTCCAACTTTTTAATCAGATTTTTTAGAATTTTGTGAGTATGCAATTTCAATATATTATTTACATTTTAGTACGATTAAGTGCAACTTTAAAGTAGCTTGAGCTTATCGTTGATTTTTTGCTATTTTTCTCCATATAAACATGTTTTGTATGGAAAAAATGCGTAACACCGTTAATAAAAAATAAATGCCAAAAATCAAGATTGAGTGAAAGCTACTTTAAAGTTGCACTTACTCGTAAACGTACTAAAATTTAAATAATTTAAAAATTGCGTACTCACAAAATTATAAAAAAATGTGATTAAAAAATTAAAAAAATTTTGGCGAAATATTGCGGAATTTTCATAATTTTTGCACAGAGTCTGAAATTTCGATTTATATGGTTTTTGTAAGGTAATTAGTTAAACTTTCATAAAAAAATAATAAACATTATGTAAAGAAAAGGAAAGTAACCAAAACTTTCTAAAATGTCGCATCCCAATTTATACTTGGATCGACTTCAACATAACGTGTATTCAAAATATTTTATGAGGTGTCCTTATTTAATAAATTTACAAAAATTTCATTTTTTATTAACAAGGTTTTCTAATAGCAACAATTTCTTTTCTTCTATTTCGCGGTCTTTTTCCCACTTCTGTATTAGCATTTCTTTCATAGTCGCAAACTTTTCTTCTCTTACCATCTTTTTTTCTTCATATACCTTTTTTTTCAGCTCTAACTTCTTTTCATAGTATAGTTCGCGAGCCGAACGCTTTCTGGCCACGCCTAATCTAGCTGTTGTCAGGTCTGATGTGGATGCAGTTGATGCTGATGTAGGCGCAGTTAATCCTGATGTGGTTGGAGTTGCTGCTGATGTGGTTGGAGACGGGGCAGGGGTGGATGGAGTTGAAGACGATGGGAGAGGTGACGTCGACGAATCATCGTCCAACATTTCCACAGGTCCTTTCCCCAAATGGATGGTGTGGGTGTTACAGATGATTGGGCTGCGCCCAAATATCTCTTCCATTAGCTCCATGTATGGAGCGAAACATGGGGAAGAACCTGTGCGACTGTTGTTGTCCTTTGCTGACTTGTATGCCTGCAGCAAGGTGCGCATCCTCCCCTCCAGACACAGCGGTGTTCTTTCTGAATCCTGAAAATTTGGTAATTTTCTTTTATTTTTGGTTCAATTAAAATTATCATTAAATTGTTTACGCACCGTAACTCCCAAGGACAACATGTCTTCCAACACATTTGCATACGCCAGTCGCTTCTTTTTCGGGTGCTCAAACTCGGCTTTGCGAGCTAAGTAGCACCCCAGAAAACCTTCCGTCTCCTCCCGCGTCCACCTTCTCCTCTTAATCCTTTTAATTCTGAAAAAAATTAGTTTTTATTTGATAAGTTTTAAAATAAAATTTATTTTTACTTACTCTTGCTCCATTTGCGTTTTGGTTTATTTTGCTTTAAAAAGATATTTCCCCTGAATGAAAAAATATTTCGAATTTTCCTCTTTGTTTATTTTACTTTTCAAAAAAAATATATTTTGACTTTTAAATGGAAAGTTTCCAAGTTCGTTCCATAATCAATCACAATAGTGCCATAACTGAACTTGGTAGCACCTCACACCAAGTCGTATATCGTTATACGAGTTGGAATCAACTTGGATAATATATACGAGTTGTGTTGTTGCTTTACGTGTAATAAACTTTTAAACGAGTGTTCTTTTGTAACTTGTATAGCAAAAAATTACGCCTATTATTAAAGAGAATAAAAGAAAAATAATTAAAGCAGTTATTATGCAAATATTCTTAATTTTTGTCTATAGTTCGGCTTGTTGATTAATAATAGAAATTAATCAAATAATTTTATTAATCGTGTAATTAAAAAAAGTCAAAAATAATTGAAAATTATCAAAAATAACAGAATAATGATGTAATTAAAATTAATGAATTAATAAAAAAAAATTTTAAGTAACTAATTAGTCATTAAAAAGGTGGTAATATCATAAAAAAAAATTTGCTTTAATTAATAATCATTATGAATATTAATCATTATTTAACAGGCTGGTATAATTGAATACGTACCCGATTTAATGGTTTATAATATGTATACCCTAATAAAAGCTAAAATATTTTGTGTACTTTATTGTATTCAACTGCCGAAGTAAAATAAAACGTTTTGTACTTGGTTGCATTTTCTTGGATATTTTCAGAGCTATGTGTGTCGAGATGTCATTTGAACCGGGGGTCCTATTACTACTTGTGTATGAATGCGCCTACATATATATGTACATATTTTTATGTTTTTTTTTTTTGTTTTTTGCAACGGAGGGGGAATCTTCCAAAGATGTTATACACGATTCGTCATCCTGTCCGCTAAGGGTACACCTCATTCGGGACCACGACCAGACTATGTTATCACATAATTCAGGACTTGCGAAACAGCGCGCCTACGTACTAAACCCTTAACTCCGACGTCTGAAGCTTGTGTTTCGCCTTGCGGGACCGCCGTTAGGTATTACGTCGCAATGCGTAGCTTTGCCAATTGGCTCTTCACACACGCCTTTCTGGCCTATCTCTCGTTCAGTCCTCTGTTATCGCTACTGCGCTGCCACTCTTTCCTTCAAAGTTCCTGAAGAACTATAGCGGACCACGGTTTGACTATAGTCCACACCATTCTAGATTGCATCATGTGGTGCACAATTTATTCTGGCGCCACGCGATCGTAGGTGTGTGTGTGTGTGTATAACTCCCTCACCTATAGCTTTCCTGCAGTAAACCGCGCTAGTTCAGAACTGGCGCAGAAATAGCTCTTTAAGAGGCGGTACTGGTTCTCGATCTATCCCAACGCAATGCTTTCAACTGTCTCTTTTTACATAGCGATGTCCTACGACATCCCACCTATGCAGAACTTTCGAACTAGTTCTGAACTGGTTCCATTTTCGACAGTTCTGGGACAATAAGTTTTTTATAAGAAAAAATTTTAAAACTGGATTACGGGATATTTTTTCTTTTCTGAAGAACTGTTTCCATTTCGGACAGACCTACGGCAATAACTTTTTTATAAAAAAATTTTGATTAAGTATTCGATTTTTTTATTTTTATTTTTTTCTGTTCTTTTACAGATTACATTTTATTTCGTTTTTTATACTTTTATTTTATTTATATTAAATTTGATCATTTTCTCTTAAATTTTTAAGCGGCACTCAACAATCTAAATTTATTAAATCAGAAACCTCAACCGCGATTTGAACTCGCGACCAACGATGTTAAGAGTCAGAGGTCTTCCCGCCGAGCTATTTGAGTATTGTACGAGACGTGAGAATTTGTGCATTTACTTTTCAACAGAGCTCAACTAACACACCAAAAGTTTGAACTGTCCCTCTCTGCAGCCGTTTTGCACTAGTTCAGAGATAGTTCTGAAATGTGTAGGGCGGAGCTAGCGCTTTAACAGACTGTCTCTAAATTTTACTGCAGGGTTGTAATTGGCTTTGCGGTACTGCCGTTAGGAATTTCGTCCCAAATCTCAGCTTGCCGATTGGCCCTTCTTCACATCATTGGGCTTGTTCTTCGGTCATTCTCTTTTCGCTACTGCGCTGTCTTTCTTTCGCTCTCAGCTCCTGGAGGACTATTGCGGACCACGCCTTAATTCTACTCCACACCGCTTTTGAGTTTATCATGTGCCCCACGATATTGTCAGGCGTCATGCTCTCCTTTATCAGCTGCTCTATGTCTGTTCGATCTGCTTCGTATTTTCGGCAGAGGAAGAATACGTGTAGTACGTTTTCGTCGCCGCTACCGCAGAATCAGCACTCTGTCCCGTCATCATGCATATATTTGAACAGGTATTCTCGAAAGCAGCCGTGCCCCGTCAGAAACTGTGTCATGTAGAAGTCGGTCTCTCCGTGTTTCCTCCCCACCCACGCTTTTATGTTACCGATCAGCCTGTGCGTCCACCTCCCTACATATATTCATTCGTATGTATACAATGCATTTAAGCAAGTCTGCCAAGAACGTGATATTCTCCTATCTTGGCTTGAATGTAGACAAAATGGAAAATATTTTTAAGTCCGTAAAATGTGGTCTTAAGTAATTTTCAGCTTATATATTCTTAGTATATATAAAAAACTTGCACACATGAGCATTAAAAAAATCATCAACCACACAACAGATAAAACACAAATGAAAATGTGTATGCAAATGTAAAGCAGAGAACAAATTAGGAATGCTAAGATTAGGTTTATGTAAAAATACATGCAAATTTATATGAGTTTTGGTGAATGGTGTTGGTGGTGATTGCCACAGCTTTAAAAGCTCATTGTTGCTGCTTTATAATGTTAGTCGTTGCGTTTTTTCGTCTGTTGTTTTGAGCATTTTCATTTGCTTGTTACTGTGACATTGGAATTATGTATTTCCTGAAGAGCACGGTTGTTTCATGTATGAATTTATGAAAATCACCAGTGTATGTGCGCTGGTGGGTGCTTGCATATATCTATATATATATCTGACTAACTATATCACATTCCAGACACGTAGGACAGTCATAAAACATTTCACATATCTCAAGTGCACAACGATAAACAGCTCGCGCGCTCACCAGCTTAAGGACAATCATGCCGAGAGACA